GGCGGCGAAGGGCGCGGGAGGAGGAGTGGGCGAGAGTGGGCGATAGGTCGTGCGGGCGGTTTTGTTTTTTTTTTTAAACGGCGGCGTGGGCTGGGTTAGCGATAGCTTAATACGTGGTTTGCAGTGTTAAACACCGAAGGATTAAGGGTCATTAGATCTTGCTAATGGATGGTTCTGATTATTTGGATCTGCCCTTCTCTTCCTTTTATAGTGGTAGTAGATTAATATATGAGATATATCTTTGCCATCATTTAAGAATGTTTTTTTGACAAAGATTGACCAATATTGTTGTCTGAGGTGATTACTATATCTTGTCTTTTTGGAGAGAACATGAGAGCTTTATTCAATCTTCAAGTTTGCGGGGCTGCAGCTTTGAGCCTTTGATCATGGGTTTCAAAAGCCATACATGTTTCTCAAAGAAACGAAATCCAAATACTCACTCATGATGCCTTATTATCAATCCAAATGGTCACTCACGGTGCCTTATTATTAATCTAGGCACTAAACGGGAAAATGATGTCCTTTAATAATGTATTCGTCCAGTGGTCAGTTTAGTTTGTTCACAATGGTGCAGAAATGCACACGATGTTGGATGGAGGGCACAGTAAGGGAAGCCACAGTGTTAATCTAGGAGCTAAATTAACACGGTTCCGCAAAAGGATAAACCTCTTCTGGCTGGATGGCTTACAAAACTAGAAATTCTCGCTGTGGAACACGAATTTTGTGCTTGATTTACTTGAGAAATCCTTTGCGAGCCCGCGCAGCTTGTTCGTGAGCACCGGCTCGCCACAATAGAACACTCCTGTGATATCCGAGAAACACAGAGTTAGTGTCAGTTCCGAAAAGTAATGCTAATGCTATGCATGCACTAAAAATGTTGCTGACCGATCGATTCTGCTGTTCTTATTGAGTGGATTGAGGCGAGAAGATCGTCATGCCTTGACTGATATGACTGAATTGGGCAAGGGGAAATATTCTAGGAGTAGTCCTATATATGTGCATATATATACCTGAGCTCAACTAATTTATAGGAAAGAATTCCTTATTTAACATTGTTTTAAATTTCGTTTTCCTATTTAACACTGGAAAAATGTTTCTTCCCTATCTAACACCAATTTTAAATTTTGTTCCCAATATAACACTTTCATTCATTTTTTAACCTAACGGTGTTAAATGGAATGTGAAAGGACAAAATTACCCTTGGTTCTAGCTGCAAAAACTCCTCGAAGTAGGGTGGTGAGGATGGCTCGAAATAGCGTACGTGGTTTGTATCCCATTTGTACACATTCAATCACCAAGTTGTAGTTGTATGTACGTGGTTCGTGTCCTAGGCTGCTGCTATATATAATACTTTGTAAGACCGTGGATTGAAGGAATAAAGTAAAATCACCACACACAATACGTACGTGTGGCAATCAGCCGAAGTCTCCTATGCGTGTGAGTATCCAGCCAAAAGTTGTTATGTACGTATGTGTTTATTTTTTATTTTCTGTTGTACGTACGTCGGTACGTGTTTAGGCTTGGAGATCACTAGATCAGCGAGCTGAGGCCAAACTTTGCATCGCAGTGCATCAGGCTTCGTAACATGAGGCTCGACGTAAAGCATCTCGTCGGGTTGAGCCAACTTGAGACAGAAACCAAGACAACCAAATTGCTTCGCTTAGTCGTTGTTCGGCATCGTCGCCGGAAAGTACTCGATGGCGGGTCTGGCCCAAAAACGACCAAGGCGCAGCGGACGGGAGCGGACGAGTGTTGAGCGAGCCTATGATGGAGTGTTTGTTTTAGAATGCCAGATCGATTCACCCAAGCAGCGCGCGTACGTGCATTGCTAGCTCAAAGACACATGCAGCTTGATTAACTTTTCCCTAGAAGCAGAACGTGCTCATCTCTAACCGCGTATGTACGGACGTACTTGAGCGTTGAATCTTGCTTGTACTAGCTTGGCGAATAGAACAAACATGTCAAAGAAAATGGTTGAATAGACGTTCAAGGGCAGAATTGTCATTTCACGTGCCATTTAACACTGTTTGCACAAAAAATGGATGGAAGTGTTATATTGAGAATAAAATTTAAAGATTGTGTTAGATAGGGAAGAATTATTTTTTCAGTGTCAAACAGGGAATAAAGTTTTTGGATAGTGTTAAATAAGGAATTCTCTCAATTTACAGTGGGAGAACCTTGATGCTTCTATCTACACTTGGCAGCTCAAATTTCAGAGGTGGTCGTAACCATCGGCAAGTAGTAACAAAATTTTCTGCAGTGGTTGGGACTTGGGACTCAAATTAAGGTGCAACTTCTCGTCTTCTCGAGCATGCTAGTCATGCACTCATGCTATCCAAACAAAGCGTGTGGTGCTAGAAGTTGCGATGGCTGAATATATATGTATATCAGTAGTATTGCAAAATGGAAGGTACGTAGTTTCGGTATGGTACTGACCGACGCGTTTTTGCTTGTTCTCGTCCGCGATGCGTTGGTAGACTTGGGCCCAGTTTGGTCGGCCGAAGTGGGTCATGACGCGGCTGCCGGAGACGACGTCGACGCCGTTCTTGGCGTAGTGGAGGGACTGGAGCATGGCGATGAGCGCGGACCGGGCGTCGCCCTTCTCGTAGACGCTGGTGCAGTGGTTGTGGAGCTCGATGATGCGCTGCTCGTCGGCCTCGGCCACCTCGTCCATGACCCCACGGAACCACTCCAGGGAGCCCTGCTCCCGGGTGACCCAGTAGAAGTAGGCTCGACGGGTCCGGAACGGGCTCGCGGCGCCGGCGTGGCCGTTGCCGGACTCGACGTCCCCGTCGAGCCGCCTCGCGTTGGTGATGATGTCCTTGATGATGGAGATCATAGGCGTTGCACCGATGCCGAGTCCCACCAGTAGCACGATGTCGTACTCCTTGTAGTCCTGCGCCGGCGCCCCGTACGGCCCGTCGATCAGCACCTTCGGGAGGCTGCAGCAGAGCAAACACACGGTTATTACTTTCGGTAACTATAAGCTGGTAATATCGATTGACCAAGATGAATTCACATGACAATAGATCACATAAGGAACGGAAACTTAAGGATAACATATACGTAGTAGATTTATTCACGCAAGAATGCATCACAGAGGGCGACTTAGCAAAATAGCACGAGTCGATAGTGAGTTTCGAAGCAATGGAGTCTTCAATCCCTTCATGAAGCTCAAAGTGTTGAAGAATTGTCTAGAGATTGAAAATTCATTCATGTGCTATCAGTAATGGCATTTGCATGCATTTTTCGACACTAGCTAGTCTGGGTTGGACCACTCCACGGGATGGCAAATCGAATCGGTTGTGATCATAATCACATGGACCGAAATGAAAACACGAGGACAAATTTTCACAACCAAAAGGGTAAACTATTTCGCAAGCACAAGAAATAGCCGCGTATGTACCTCGGGTTGGACATGACGTCATCGTGGTTGTACTCCACCCGAAGAATCTCGGTCGTCCCCTCTGTCGGTGCTGGGCAAACCTGTGATCCGTACACAGTACAACACTCTTAACTTTTTTTTATATGAAAATAAGCTTTACTTAGAGAGTGACGAGGAGATTAACGCGACTAAATTGCATCGGTATGTAGGAGTAAGTACCTTTAAGAAGGCGTTCCTGAGCTGGTTGGTCCAGTCGCCGAGCGTTTTGATGTGGACGCTGACGTAGTCATCCCCTGGCGCCGACGTGATGGAGAACGGGTGCCTGCACGTTCGTCCATTGATCAGACGGCCGGATTGGCCGATCGGTGATTAAACCAAGTGTGCCCGCCGGCTGCATGCAGCGTACGTACCACTGGAATGGCGAGACGTCGGGGCACTTGACGTAGATGTACTGCCCGCTCTTGTACCTGAACCCCTGCGGCTTGGACAAGTGCAGCGACAGAAGGGTCGCCGGGTGCGGATGCACGGCCACCCTGACTTTCTTCACCGACCTCACGCTCGACCGCAGCGTCCTCGTCAGCCGCTCGCATGCGTACACGGTCATCGGCACCGCCAGGTACATCCACGTCTGCATTTAGTATCACAGGCATAGACATATTGAGTTAATAATTAATAGTTCAACCTGTAGTTGGGTGCATAGGATATGCATATGATTTTATTATGTAGGTCACCAATTTGGCGAACTAAGGGTCAGTTCTTTTAGGCAGCTTAAAAAATAAGTTGCCTATTTTCAACTTAAAAAATAAGCCGCTCATAAAATTTGTTGAGACTTCTAAATTAGTTATCTTTTAACTAGTTTAGAAGCCCCAATTAATAAAAGAGGTGGCTTACGGGATAAGCTGGGGAGGAGGCGGCTTATTTTTTAAGCTACCACTCCGTCTTATAATGTAAGACGTTTTTTGACACTACCTTTATTCCTGATTTAATTACTACTTAAGTCTGAACTACCTTAAACACATAATCTTAAGTGGGAAGAAAATCCATACTACCTCTCTCTTTTTTACTAGCCCCTTGTATTTTGCGTCATATTATGATTATTATTTAATAGATATAATACTATAAGTTATACTTAGCAAAGATAATATCATCGGACACTACATTCAAATACCAAGTCCAAAAATATGAATTTTATGACATGCATTAACATTTTGCTAATCAAATTTTGACACATAATATGACAGGGACTAATAAACTCACACGGAAGTAATACTATACTTCTGAAGTTATTTTGTACTCAATGACCACGAACGGAGATGATTCAATACTACTTTGTCCTAGAAATAGGAGTAATGCTACACGTACAAACGAATTACAAGCTTTTACAAAAGAGGATTAATTTTATTGGTCAATAGATGAGGAGACGGCCCACCCCTTGAAAATCAGGGGGGACAACTGGTTAGTAGATGGAAAAAATCCTAGTCAGCGTGTAACTCTTTGTATGTTTAGCATTATTGTAGAAATAGTAAGATGAATAACAAATACCCTCATACTTACCGACTTCTTTTGCCACTTGTTGTTGAGGTAGAGAAAGTGTCCATGGACGATGAGCAGCCCGTAGACGACGAGGAAGAGGTGGTGTGTGTGTACCAGAAGACGTTGTACCCAGTGAAGCGGTTGAGCAAGGCGTTGACCAACCAAGTGAGGCGGCTGCATGAGGCGTTGACGAGCTCGGCGAAGCGGGTGAGCTCCCTAGGCTCGGGGTTGCTGTCGAGGCTCTCGAGCTTCTTGAGCTTGGGAAGGCGGAGCTTCCCCTTGCGGAGCGGTGCCGTGGCGAACGTAAAGGCGACGGCCATGAGCGCGAGCATCACTAGCCCCGTCCACCCCTCTGTCCCCCTCACGAACCACCAGTAGTTGGGCGGCTTGGCGTCGCCGAAGAATGGCTTCATGGGCTCGTACTCGTCGTCCATGGCGTGCAGCAGCCGCGGGAAGTCGCATGCCAGGTGGGAGATGATGTGTAGCCCGGCGCCGACGGTGATCCCAACCGCGATCGCCATGTGGAACTTGAGGTTGTCGTTGAAGGGCACGATTCGTCCGGCGGTGGTGTGGCTCCGGAGCCAAGTGATGCTGTTGCGGCACACGGGGAGGAGCGTGAGCGCCATGTTGAACTTGAGCGTCTCGGCCCCGCCCTTGGCCACACACACGCAGTAGCCCATCACCCCGAACACGGCGTGGTGGCGGTATTGCATGAACTTCCAGGCGAAGAGGCCCACGCAGATGGACAGCCACAGGAGCATCACCCAGCAGCGCCGCCAGTTGTCCTCCAGGGAGTGCTTGGCACGCTTGTACCACCGTCGGACAGGGCTGGGATCCGTCGTCGGACGGAGACGCTGGCTCAGCAGTTTGCTGAGCTTGTGGTTGTTGGTTGTCGACTCGCTCGGCGCCTCCAGCAGCAACATCTTCAGGTTGTACAGCTGCAAATCAATTATCACTGTTAATTCTATGCATCATCATCAGTAACACGAATCAATCTTGCATAGCAAATAAGGCCGTTGTTCTACCTCGATGTAGCCGAGTTCGTTGGGGTCCAACGCCTCCATGATGAGACGTGCATACTCCTCGCACTGTCGCGGGACCATCGTTAGCTTGTTCGCCGATACGCTCAACGTGATGATCTGCAGAGCAAACCAGAATAAGCCCCCAAAAAGTCAATGTTCCGGCAATATGATCTTGTTAAGAAAACTAAGACAACAAGATAGTTACGCAATTGGATGTGAAAGACATGAACCAAACAAGGCTCGTTGGGTTGGTCAGTACTCCCTCTGTTCAGTAATGTAAGACGTTTCAGAAATGTCGTTTTAAACTGTTTTTGGTCTTGTCAGAAATGTCTAAAACGTTTTACATTAGTGAACTGAAGGAGTAGTACGTCAGAACTTGTGGGAAAAGGACCAAAATCGGTCACGAGAACATGCTTACAAGCATGTCGTGCTGGTACGTTGATGACACCTATGTGCAGATGTGAAATGGCAATCTGGTCAAGCGAGTATTGTTCAACACGTCCATCGTTGAAAATCGCAGAACACACACCCTCCATTTGCTATTTTGGGAGAATGAGGAGATGTTTGATAATTTATTTATTTTTGAAAAAAGAGGATTACCTTTGGCCTCTGCATCAAGCAATGCACACAACCATTTTATTAACTAGATGATGTCCCGCGCGTTGTTGCGGGAGTATTCTGCAGTATTTTAGTGAGATTTTGGTAATATGGAACATGAATATTTGAAATAATAGTTTTTAAAATTATATAAGAATTAAATCTAATACCATAATAGAATGGAATTTTACATGCATGCATGTTTGCATGTTGAAGTGGATTTTTATTCATAGTTGTATGTTGAGGTGAGCCTTTCCTATGCAAGTTGAATGATGAGGTGGCATGCTTGCATGTTGAGAAAAATATGTTAGTGGGGCTAGCTATTTAGATATAGAAAATTAAGGTATCAATAAAATATGAAACTCATCTCACATACACAAACAAAAACGAAAAAAAAGCCACAACCGGCAAATATAGAACGCTTGAATGGACCACTGAAAGAGTAGTGAAAATTTACCTGTTTGGCCTCGTCCTCGCTGATCCTCCCATCGTCGTTCTTGTCCACCCTGTTGGTTACGTAATCAAAGTCGTGATTCGTAACTTGTTGGTTTAGCAAGAGAGCTAAATTAAGTGGTTTTGGTTAAATAAATGCTACAATACTCCCTTCTTTCTCATACTCCTAGTCCTTGCAAAAAAATGAATCAATTAAACATAAAAAAGGAAATACCCGTAAGAATTTTCGCATAAAATCAATGACATAGGACTTAGATGTGTAATAGTTAGGGCACATCTAGTTGTGTCTTAGAGAAAATACAATAGTGGGTTATAAGCCTACTTACATGTCATTTTTCTCGATGTGAAGAAGAAAGACAAGTAAAAAGGAAGGGACTGTGCTCTAGTACCTAACTCTTTTCTTAATTAGCTTTAAGAATGATACTTCATTTGTTGGCGCATGAGGTAAAATCTGGGCGCAACAGCTACGTTTGTTGGAGTTTGTTAGCGCCTATACTAGGGGTTAGTGTTGGAACGGAGAATGCTTACGTGAGCTTTTTAATTTTATGATATTTATTTTATTTGCCTAAGCGCCTCTACAGGCACCTTGCATTGAAAATGCCCTAAAGGTGCTCCTAGTTAATACTCCCTTCATTTTTTTAGTCCGCATATAAGGTTTGGTCAAAGTCAAGCTTTATAGAGTTTGACTAATTTTATATTAAAAAATATAAACATTCATAATATGAAATCAATATTTTCAGATGCACCATGAAACGTATTTTCATATTATATAGTTTTAGTATTGTAAATGTTCATATTTTTTATATAAATTTGGTCAAACTTTGTGTAGTTTGACTTTGACCAAATCTTATATGCGAAGTAAAAAGAAACGGAGGGAGTACTAGTAAATGAGAGGAAAGAGGAAGAGAGAAAGTGAAAAAAAATCACTAGCCTAAGAGTCAACCTTATAGTCAACTTTATTGCATGAGTGAATGATATTATTGTTTAGGAATATTAGTGAATGATATTGTTAGCTTTTGATGACATGGCAGTCTTATATAGCCAGTTGTTGGCTATATTGTTAACACTGCTCTTATAGCAAAACCAAAGTAAACTGATGAGGACGAAGTAATTAAGAGATAATGGAGTTGGCCGGAGTTTAATCAGCTTTTACATGTCGAGGAAGGTCTGCAGGCGGCTGTCGAAGCTGGTGTCTGAAATTTGATCCCAGAACTCACGCAGCTCCGACTTGTTGATGCTCTCTCCGGTGATGTTCCGCCGCCTTGCCAGCGCGTCGAACAACTCGCCGGCGAACGCGGCCTCTTTCATACCTGCGAAATTGTTAAACTGTAGTGAAGACGCAGCCGTACACACAATTAATCGGTCCTGATCGCATAATATGTTTTACTTCGAGGCGAGGTGTTTTACCGATGCACTCGCCGAACTTGGAGCGGGGGAGGCGCCCATTCCTGGCTTTTTTGTCGAAGATCCCCTCGGCGGCGGTCCACTCGGCGGAGCCGTTAGTGCCGCTGATGAACTTGAGACCCTCGAGCGCGTGCGTGGCGACGGGCTTCGAGTTGGACCTGTCGATGCGGCTAGGGCCGCCTCCCCGGAGGTTGAAGGACGCGATCCGCCGGAGCTCCCGAGACACTTGCTTGAACCGCGCCGAGGCGTCCCGGAGCACGCCATGGCCGTGCGAGGACGACCGCTTCTCCGGCGTCACCGCCGAGTCCCCGCCTCCCGCCACCGGCTTCACGCTTCGCACCACCACCGAGTCGTCCAGCATGTCGAGCGTGATCTCCACCTCGTCGCTGTCGCTGCCGCCCCCGCCTCCGCGCGGCCCGGACACGGGCTCCGCGAACAGCTCGCTCTTCCCCGGTGGCAGTACTCTCTCGTGCACGCCGCCGCTGGCCTCCACGGGCTCCCCCGCTCCACCGCCGCCCCCGGAGTCGGCGCCCACCCGGTTAGGCATGTCTGGCCACCGGCTTCACCCGTTTGCACCCAGCCTCCGAAAACCGCAGCTAATGCGGAGGCAGAACCTGACTCGCCCGCTCCGAAACTCACTGCCGGAGGTCTCGTGCCGGCACTCGGCACAGGCAGTAGCAAAGGAGAGATGGGATGCGCCTGATGAGAGCCAAGGAAACGAGTGGGAGGTGGCCATTTATAAGCTACGAAGCACCGATACGTCAAGATCGGCTGTATCGGCGTACCGCACGTGGCCGATACTCCGATACGCCTGATACGGCTCCGATACGCGTATCACAGAGGTATCCCGATTTTTGATTTAAAAAATGAAAAAATAAACACGATACGGCGGCGACACGCTGTGGACACAGCGACGATACGGCGAGCACGTCGCAAACAGACCTGAGCCCAATAGGAGCCCACAAGCCTAACCTCTGTCCTCTCAGTTCGATAGAAGAAGGATTGGATCTTGGCAACTGCAGGGAGCGCACCGCCGCCGCCGCCTTGAGTGGCTCGCTGCGGCGGCCGCCACCGCCGTCGCCTGCAATCGCCCGTCCAACCTGCCAACTTGCCTTGCCGCCGTCTGGAGTGACTCGAGCCTTCTCCGCCACAGCCGCCCGTCGCCAGCAACAATGAGGTATACTTCCATCGCATACGAAATTGGCTGCTTGTCTCTGTGCTTGGCTGCTGGCTGGTGTCGTGGTGCATCTGCCTGTGTTTTCTTGTTAGATTAAAAAATGCTAACTTGGCTAATCCTTTGAACTTAGTTCAGTTGCGGAAGCAGACTTGCACATATATATATACCTCGATTTATCTTTATGAGCTATGTCTACTGCTAGAGAGGGAAACACGACATGTATGTAATCTGCATGACTGGAAAAGAACCATGGATGCAACCAATGGGCAGTATTTTGATCTCATCTCGCACCTTCTATTATATGTTTGTCTTTATTACATTTATTTTATTAATTATTTTTATATACTTGCCGTATCGCCATATTGATGTTTCGGAAACTTGTTGTATCCCGTATCGCCGTACTCGTATCGCCGTATCGGTGCCGCCGTATCGGTGCTTCGTAGTTTATAAGGGACGGATGCTCCATGCACTATAGCACTGTAGTGGTGCGGTGTGAGCTCGGGTGTAGATACTCCACGTCCGTCAAGTTGTTGCTACACTCTTTCTAGGAAAGACAGTAGGTAAAAGTTTAAAATAACTGACTGAATTATTTCAGATAATTGTGCAGGAATTATCTGTTGTAAGTATAGAATTATTTGTATCTGCAATTCTACTACAGTGCAATGAAGTAACCGTGGATGTTGATACATGAATAATACAATACGATCTAGATGATATTGCATGCCAATGATAGTTGTAGACATTGCAAAAGTACTCCTATATAGATTTAGAGCAAGCATAAACAAAGTCCTATATATAGCTCCAGATTTAGAGCAAGCATACAGTAAAATCGAGACAAATAGTAAAAAAAATCTGAAATTTTAGGTAATGCTCTTAGCGGAAAAAATAAAATCATAGCTCCAAAGACTATTTTCAAAGCATTTTGGAGTGCTGATTTTGTTATTTTTTTCTCAGACCTCCATCACGAAAAATTTCAAGCAGGAATAAAACTATGCAATGTTTGTTGTCAAAACAAATTCAGATTTTTTTGGAGGATCATTCGAACTCAATATTAGAAGGGCACTTTTAGCTTACTTGTGACTTTTGTCTACGTGGAGGAGAAACAAGTAAAAATGAGAGGGGTGTGAGTTCTAATGCAAGAGCCCACCTGTACATTTGCTTCAAAATAAACATAATAAGTGTATAGGAAAGAGAAAGACAAATGGTGAGAACAAAACAATCAATCTAATAGCCCATTACAAGAGTGATTACTAATGATGGTTCTTAGTGACATGACAATTGTGCACAGTCACAAATTGGCTATATTAAGAATGGGTTTTGCTTCCCCTAGAAAAAAAAGAGTTTTCGTTCGGTACCCCCCACCCCCCAAAAATTTGCAAGAATTTTAAAGTTACTTAAAAAGGCCATAACCATATTAGCTTGCAGATCAAACGTATTGAATAGATTGACTTGGATACAAAAGACTACACTCTGCTTTTCGATTGAAGGGTACCTTCTAATCTCCACTTTTAATCTGCATCGGAAATCATAAACTTTTCTAGAGGAGGTGTACCGAAGCAATACATGAATTGGTTGGATCGTTCGAATATGTGATAGTACATATATTGTGTTTACTAACGTTCACAAACTCTTCGTATATCTCACAATCATTTTTCTCATCCTTGAATCTTTTTCCGTGTGTCCTTCATGCGGGCAATGATTGTTTAGTGATTGCATAACGCTACTAGTGCAAACCAAAGCTCCGAGCCAGGCCCTGCCCTGCCTATGTCTTGTTTCAATTTGTTTTTCTTTTGCGCGTGTGCGACTGCGCTTTCGTTATGGGCAACGCGACTTGATATACAACAAATTCGGAAACTTTTGACATGTCGACCTGCTTCGTAGCACTTTCCAGTAAGATAAGCCAGAGCGTTTCTGAAAGTTTTGTTGTTGTTCCATGACAGCTACTCATATTTAATTTATAATACTGTTGTTTCTGGGACCCCCATTGTATGTATCCTTGTGTACACCAACCGCAGGCCGGTAAAGCTATCTTGCATATTCAATCGGCAATCATCATCTGGGCAGGTGAAGGTCTACCGGTTCGATAGTTGTTGAGCATCAGCGCCAAGGGCAGCGGAGTCAACTGTCGTCAACTGCACTTTAGGCATCTTTACGGTCTTATTATCTGATGTGTAGCTAAATTATTTCAGTTCATCATACCTGCTGATCTGGCTGCTAGATTCATTTCAATACCAGACGTGGTGTTCCCCGCGCGAAGCTGCACCTTATTTTCTCGAGATTGAATTTTTTAGGCGATGACGCCATTTTGATCACTCTTGTTGCGTACTGGTCAGTCGTCAGCAGGAGGAGGAAGTTAGGCGGTGCTTTCGGGAGTAGTACTATAATGATAAAATAAACGCAGTACGTGGTTTCATGCTCCATTGGGCACGCGGATTTCACTACCGTTCGTGGCTGAACCATCTTTTATAGCTGGGTTGATTAGTCTGAATTTGGTTGGTGGTGTTTGGATCGACCTTATTGCCACAGAAGAAAAGGTGTGTGCAAGTGGTTGCCAAACTTTCTTTTATGGTATGTACTTCACAATTGATAGATCGTCCATTTGCTGAAATCCAACGGTGGAGATTGACGGATATTGTTGCGTTTGATGTGAGCAATGCAGTATATATGGGCATGAGTGGAACTTGGGATTATTAAAAAAATTATGATGCAAGGCAAAAGCTCTGCCGATTTCAAACTAAAAAAAAATGATCCTGATCGATTATGATAAAGGTTTATCAGAAATACAAAGCATCTCAGGCCTAATAAAAAAACTATATCGACGTCCTTGGATCACCGACGAACATTGCAACGAACAAAATGGGCCGTCGACAAGCCGATGTCACTGCTCCAAACCGGAGCTAACCTGACCTTGTTGAGACATTCGAGAAGTCTTCATGCATGTGCCCCTAAAGACCGGCGTCCCGGAGCCGGAATCGTCGTTTTGACCCTTAAATCGATATGAAGAACTTGGCCCCAAAACCTCACCACCCCAAGAAGCTGGTAGGAATCTACGTAAGAACTCCATCAATTCCGTCTCGACGGATGAATTCGAGGAGGATTAATGGAGTATGAAAAAACAACTCGAAGACGAAGCGCCGCACCTACATGTGCCCGTCACTGCTGGGGACAATCCTGCCCATGCCACTTCACCTCCGCGAGATACTTAGCCGTTTCCCTCAAATCTCAGAACGGTCGATTTCTTATTCTTACCCAAATTTCCCCTAAAACCCTAGCGCCACATGTTGTTGCCTCACGTCTGCAAGTCGTCATGGCGATGCATCTCCCGTTGTCACGCCAAGGTTTGCTTCACCTCCTACCTCCTTCATGTCGGTAGTTAGCTCTGATTTGATTCATCTCCTTGTTGGAAGTATGCCCTAGAGGCAATAATAAAATGGTTATTATTGTATTTCCTTGTTCATGATAATTGTCTATTGTTCATGCTATAATTGTATTAACCGGAAACCGTAATACATGTGTGAATACATAGACCACAACATGTCCCTAGTAAGCCTCTAGTTGACTAGCTCATTTATCAATAGATGGTCACGGTTTCCTGACCATGGACATTGGATGTCATTGATAACGGGATGACATCATTAGGAGAATGATGTGATGGACAAGACCCGATCCTAAGCCTAGCACAAGATCGTGTAGTTGATATGCTAAAGCTTTTCTAATGTCAAGTATCATTTCCTTAAACCATGAGATTGTGCAACTCCCGGATACCGTAGGAATGCTTTGGGTGAGCCAAACGTCACAACGTAACTGGGTGGCTATAAAGGTGCACTACGGGTATCTCCGAAAGTGTCTGTTGGGTTGGCACGAATCGAGACTGGGATTTGTCACTCCGTGTAAACGGAGAGGTATCTCTGGGCCCACTCGGTAGGACATCATCATAATGTGCACAATGTGACCAAGGAGTTGATCACGGGATGATGTGTTACGGAACGAGTAAAGAGACTTGCCGGTAACGAGATTGAACAAGGTATTGGGATACCGACGATCGAATCTCGGGCAAGTACTATACCGGTAGACAAAGGGAATTGTATACGGGATTGATTGAATCCTTGACATCGTGGTTCATCCGATGAGATCATCGTGGAACATGTGGGAGCCAACATGGGTATCCAGATCCCGCTGTTGGTTATTGGCCGGAGAGTTGTCTCGGTCATGTATACATGGTTCCCGAACCCGTAGGGTCTACACACTTAAGGTTCGATGACGCTAGGGTTATAGGGAAAGTATGTACGTGGTTACCAAATGTTGTTCGGAGTCCCAGATGAGATGCCGGACGTCACGAGGAGTTCCGGGATGGTCCGGAGGTAAAGATT